CCCGACGCGGGACTCGATCCTGGGACTCCAGGATCATGACCTGAGCCGAAGGCAGTCACTCAACCAACTGAGCCACCCAGGCACCCAAACAAAATCTTTTAAAACCTCGCACTTTATATCTTCTTTAAAGCACTGATCACTTTGTCTAATTGGAGTGTCATTTGCTTGGAAACTCTCTTAAGTTCTAAAAGCTCTTAGTATGTATAAATAAAATTGGACTAACTCCGATTGGAGAGGTTGGGAGGTGGGAATAGCTCTACCTATCTACCTTAAGGAAGATTTTTGAAACTTTTAACAATAACATATAAGCAACACTTACTGAGCACTTACAATTTGCTAGGTCCTGTGCCAAAGCTTTACATGGATTGCACATAGGAGGTTTTAATATGAGTTGAATGTTGAATTATCTCATATATTTCTTCTGGGATTCTGTATTAGTTTCTTGAGACAGCCTTAACAATGTCACCAAGTTATTGGATTTCAGGCCCACCCTAATCTAGTATGATCTCATCTTAATTAATTACATATGCAAAGACCCTGTTTCCAAGTAAGGTCACATTCTACAGTTTGGGGTTGTTAGGGTCTGAATTTTTGTGTCCTCCTAAAAGTCACAGGTTGGAAACCTAATGGCCACTGTGATGATACTCGGAGGTGGGGCCTTTGGGAACCTCACGGGTGAAGTGAAGCCCTCATGAATGGGATCAGTGCCTTTATAAAGGTGGCCCAAGGGAGATCCCTAGCTCCTTCTACTTTGTCAGAAAATGGCCATCTGCAACCCGGAAGAGAACCTTCCCTGGAAACCATTCTGGCACCATGCTCTTGGACTTCCAGCCTCCATAAGCACTAAAAATAAATTTCTGTTGTTTATAAGCCACCCAGACTGTGGTACTTGGTTATAGCAGCCTGAATGGACTAAGACATGGGTGGACATGAGTTTTGGGGGGACACTACCCAACCCACTACAGTCTGCCCTCTGGTCCTCTTGTGCGAAATACATTCATTCCATCCCAACATTCCCAAGTCTTGACCCATTTCAACATTAACTCTAGATCTCATCAAATGTCATCCACTCAAAAAGTTCCAAATGTGATCCTCTAAATCAGGTATGGGTGAGATAGTGGGTGTGATACCCCCTGGAGCAAACTTGCCCTCCCTTTATGGACCAGTGGAACTGGTTGGCTTCTAAAATACAAGGGTAGGACAGACAGAGGACAGGGAGAAAGTGGAAGGAGGAAAAGGACCAGTGATTTAAAGCAAGCTTGAAACCCAGCAGGGCAAATTCCATGAAGTTTTAAGGCCTAAGAATGATCCTCTGTGCCTCAGAGCGCCATCGTCCAGGTCCAGGGCAGCCACCCTGCCTTCAGAGTTGTTCTTCCTTCTTCTTGGAGGATACCGGGTGTTCGCAGCCCAGTGCCTCAATCAGCCTGTTTCCTGACTGTGGATTTCAGAAGTCGAACAGTCTTCCTTCATTTCATCCCATCCGTGATCTTTTCGGTCCAGGCTGGCAGTGTTTCCGTTGGGATAAAATTCTCAGAAACCTTATGTGCAACACAATGCATAGGAGTGCAGGGGGTCCAGACCACCATTCCTCATTGCATTTTACCCTAAGTTTAGCAAGGAGATGCTGGGCCACATTTTTCACCCTTTAAAAATCTCCTCAGCTAGGGGTGCCTGGGTGGCTTAGTCAGTTAAGCGTCCGACTCTTGATTTTGGCTCTGGTCATGATCTCAGGGTCCTGGGATCGAGCCCTGAGTTGGGCTCCCTGCTCAGCGGGGAGTCTGAGATTCTCTCTCTCCTTCTCCCTCTGGCCTTCCCCCTACTCATGCACTCACTTTCTCTCTCTCTCTCTAAGATAAATAAATAAATTTTTACAAAAAAAAATAAACAGGGGCGCCTGGGTGGCTCAGTCATTAAGCGACTGCCTTCGCCTCAGGTCCTGATCCCAGGGTTCTGGGATCGAGCCCCTCATTGGGCTCCCTACTCCCGGGAAGCCTGCTTTTCTCTCTCCCACTCTACTTGTGTTCCCTCTCTCGCTGTGTCTCTCTCTGTCAATTAAATAAATAAAATCTTAAAATACAACAAAACAGAATGTGGTATATCCACACCATGGAACATCATTCCATTTTTAAAAAGAATGAAATTCTGACCCATGCTACAACATGGATGAACCTTGAAAACATATGCTACGTGAAATAATCCAGACACAAAAGGACAAACTTAGAATAGTCGAATTCATAGAGACAGAAAGTTGAGTGGTGGTTTCAGGATGTGCAGGGAAGAAGGAATGGAGATTTATTATTTAATCAATACAGAGTTTCAGTTTGGGATGATAGAGGTGATGATGGCAATAATAATGTGAAGGTACTTAATGCCACTGGATTGTGCATTTAAAAATGGTTAAAATGGTAAATTTTATGTTGTGTGTTTTTTACCACAATTAAATGAAAGAAATATTTGCTGGAAGAATAACTTCGCTTGTGTTTTAGGACAATCTCATTCCAGATGCTTAGAGTATCAGTCATCAGCTTCTAGTTCCTTTAAATCCTCACAAAAATAAGAACAACAGAATTCCTTACTGAATACTTACTATATGTCAGGTACTATGTTAAGCATTTTGCGTGCATTATTTTATTTAATCTGCACAACAACCTTGTAGGAGATATTGAAATCCCCACTTTACAGATGAGGAAACTGAGGCTCAAAGCTGGTAAGTACCTTGTGCAGGGTCACCAGCTGATACACAGAACACTGGGGTTTGACCCTAAATTTTCTGCAAAGCCCAAGCTCTTTATCATTTTGCTGTGTTTCCCCGAAAACCTCTCTCAAACCTGTGCGTCCCATGCTTTGAAGATCAGGACAGAAGGTGGCCTCTGGTACAGTGTCCCCAAGCTTCTCCTAAAGAGGATAATGGCCAGTCTTGGCCATTACATAGTGCCTTCTATTGTGCCTGAAAGTACTTTACATATATTAACACTAATCCTACGACAGGGCTCAGAGGTGGGTGCTATTTATTTATCCTCATTTTACTGATGAGGAAATGAGGCACAAGAAGGTTAACTTGCCTAAGTCACAGAACTGGGTTATCATCCCAACAAAGTAGACTCAGGGGACCCTTTTTAAAAAATTTTATTTTAATTTATTTTTTTAAAGATTTTATTTATTTATTTGTGTGTGAGAGAGCACGAGCAGGGAGAATGGCAGGCAGAGGGAAAAGCAGGCTCCCTGCTGAGCAAGGAGCTCGATGTGGCGGCACTTGATCCCAGGACCCTGGGATCAGGACCTGAGCTGAAGGCAGACGCTTAACCAACTGAGCCACTCAGGCGCTCAACCTCCCCCCCTTTTCTTTAAAGATTTATTTTAGGGAGGCGTCTGCGTGGCGCAGTCGTTAAGCGCCTGCCTTCGGCTCATGTCATAATCCCAGGGTCCTGGGATCGAGCCCCACCTCGGGCTCCCTGCTCAGCCAGAAGCCTGCTTCTCCCTCCCACTCCCCCTGCTTGTGTTCCCTCTCTCGCTGTGTCTCTCTCTGTCAAATAAATAAATAAAATCTTAAAAAAAAAAATATTTTAGAGAGAGAGAGTGGGGGAAGGGCAGAGGGAGAGGGAGAGAGAGAATCTCAAGCAGACTCCATGCCCAGTGAGGAGCCCAACCCAGGGCTCCATCCCACGACCCTGAGATCATGACCTGAGCTGAAATCAAGAGTCTCACCCTTAACTGACTGAGCCACTCAGGTGCCCCGACTCAGGGACCTTTTACCTACCTCCTTTTTTTTTTTTTTTTTAAGATTTTTATTTATTTATTTATTTGAGAGAGAGAAAGAGAAAGAGAGAGAATGAGCAGGGGGAGGGGCAGAGGGAGAAGCAGGCTTCCCTCTGAGCAAGGAGCCTGGTGCAGGACTTGATCCCAGGACCCCAGGATCATGACCTGAGCCAAAGGCAGACGCTTAACAGACTGAGCCACCCAGGTGCCCCTAACCACCTTCTTCTTTCCCCACTCTATCTGGTTGATGCCGCCTGAAGGGCAAAGTGACCAACTCTTCCTTTCCTCTCAGTGGGACCTTATTCCGTTGCTCCACCTTTGTCTCATGATTGAAATGTCTGTGGAATGAATGCATGAATGAGCAAAAAAAGGGCTCCAGCTGCTTTCAGCTGAACCTCTCAGCGTTGCCCAGGGGTCCTTCACCACACTTCCGCCAGTTGATCTGACTTCATCTCTAACTTGACCAAAGTATTTGGGTTCTCCAAGCAGACATGCTCATCAGGTGCCTTCCACTGATACCTGCAGAGCCTGTGTTTTTAGTTATCTGCTTTCATGAATTACTAGACTTTGCATTAACAGCATCCGTAAGGACAGACTAATGCATAGTGGACAAGATAAATGAATGAGGAGTTAATTTTCATAAGACCCCAGGGTCCTTCCTTATAATCCCCTGGTGAATTATCCTCTATTACCTCAAGTCCTCCTGTGCCAGAGACCTCACTCAGCTTTATCAGCCTGGATCCAGCTCTCATCCTGCATCTTGGGGCGGTAAACGCCTTTATCACTTTTGGCTTGAGGTCTGAACTGGGTTCGGGCTGGCAGGCATCCCTCAGTTTGCCCACCTCAGTCTCCATTAGAGTAGAATGAGTCAGAGCCCAAAAAAGTCCAAGGGAGTCTTTGGTGTGTTTGGGGGCATCCGCCTGCCCATCCACTCAGCCACCTGCCTGTGTATTTATGGAGAATCTACAGTGTCAGGCGCCGTGAGGTATCCGTATTGAGAGTTACTGCACGCACACATCTTGGCGCTTCTGAATATTCATGAGGGAAGCAGAACGTCCAATGTTAGAGGGGGGAGAAATAGTAAGTCATAAATATTAATACAGGCAGGCCACATGCTGCCGGGAAGGCTCGGAATGCTAATGAGGCGATGACGTCCGGCCCGGCGCGTGCCCGCGGGCCGGTGCCCGAGCGCGGGCGCGCCCCCGAGCGCCCGGGCACGAGCACGGGGAGGGGGCGGAGGGGGCGGGGTGGAGGAGGGGAGCGGAGCCGGGCGCCGACCGAGCTGCGGGGGGAGCGCTCGCTGGCTCGCCGCTGCCGCTGCCGCCGCCGCCGCCGCCGCGCTGTGCTCCGGCCGCTCCCCGCGGCCCGTGGATGGGGGTGTCCCGCTGAGCCCCGCGATCCGCCTCCCTCCGCCAGGACCCGGACAGGTGCCGTCGCGGGGGGCGACCTTAGCCCGGCTGACCCACTGCCGTGGGTGGGGGTTGGACGGGGGTGGAGAAGGAGGGGCCCCGCGACTCCGGCTTCTCGGCCAGCAGGTCGGGGGGTGCCGAAGCCCCGCGCCCCCAGCCCGTCCCATCCTGGAATCGGAACGGAAGAGCCCCGAGGCCGTCGCCCTCCTGCCCAGCCCTTCACGGGAGCGCAGCGCCCGGGTCGGGAGCTGTGGGATGATGGGCACTTCAAGCATCATCAGATCGGAGCCTCGGCCCCCCAGCCAGGCCTGGCGTGCGTGTGCGTGCGAGTGTGTGTGTGTGTGTGTGTGTGTGAGAGAGAGAGAGAGAGAGAGAGAGAGCGAGAGAGAGAAGGGAGGCGCGGCGCGGTCTGGGGGCTGGGGGAACCGGGAACGCTGCCCGATGGTGTGGGGCAGTGGGTCCGTACCTCCTCCCTGGACCGTTATCTGGTCCGGCTACTCTTCAACGCCCCAGAGTCATCTATGCTCCTAAGAGCCTGAGCCCGCACCCGCCCGTGCCCCTCCCTGGGGTGCCGAGCCCGTCCCCAGGACCATGCATTCCTGCAGTGTCAGATCCTCTATCAGCTGCCGCAGACGCTGCGGGAACGATTGTTTTACTACGGACCAGGTCGGAGAAAGGACGAGGGTGGTGGTGGCTGTGGGGGCGCTGCCCTCCGGTGGGCCCAGGGCCTCTGGGGCTCAGGGGCGCGAGGCTTGACAGAGCCCCAGGACGGGCGTGTTATTCCAGCCCTCTCTTCTTTTTTGCCTATCCCTTCCCTTCTCGCCGCTCGACACCCCCGGAGCTCCCTGCCTCTCCCGTGTCCCGCTCTTGTTTGGCCAAAGGGCCGTGGAGTATGTGTGCGGCCTGCGCGGGGTGAGCCCAGCTTTCTTGGAGCGCCAGCCATTGTGCTGCTTGGAAAAGCCTTTCTTTACCCCAACAGACCCGGGCGGGCGGGTGGGGGTGGAGAGGGGGATGTGAAATGAGGGTGAACCGAGCAGCAGGAGGAGGGGAAAGAGGGGGAAGCAGAACCGCAAAGGGGTTGCTGACTTACATGCAACGAAATACTCTTTCTGCGGAAATGGGAAGCTGGCACAGTCCTGTGTCCTGGCTGGTTTTGCTGAGCTGCAGTGGGACAACTGCGGTGGATCAGTGCAGGGCAGCTTTTAGGGATGAGGCGGGTGAGGGGCTAGAAATCAACTGATCTATGGGACAGGTAAGAGGAAGAAGGGGGAGATGGAATGGGGCCTCTGTGGAGGTGCAGAGGCCCAGCAGGGGGAGGCATGGTGAATTCTCCTCTGCTCCGGCTTCACTCTGCTCAGCTTAGCAAAGCAAGGAGAGAAAATTTGTTACTGCAGCCCCAAGCTGCATCATTACGCTGCAAGGGAGAGGCTTCTGTGTTTCCTACCGGGTCTCTGTTAAGCTCAGAGCCGTCTTTTCTTTTCCAAATTATACCATCTATCGGGAGCCAAAGTAAGTGGAATAGATTATAGGACATAAACTATAGCCCTGCACTGTGTTCTAGGATACAGAGAAAAAGGCAAGGTGACCCTTCTGCGGTTCCCTTTCCCTGCCATTCTTCCTGCCTGCCTTTTTTTAAAAGTTGGTTTGGGAAGCGTAGAGACAGAGGATAAGCTCTGAATTGTATTGACCCTAGCTTTTCAGGGAGGAGGCCTCTGAGATGAGTTGGGAGTGAAGACAGGGCCGAGCTTGTCAGGATGCAAGAGTAGGACATTTCAGTGGGGGTGCAGAGGCACCTCACCAAGGGAGAAGAGCCAAAGAAAGTGAGCTAAATGAAGGACAGAAGGCGCACCGGTTCCAGAAGGGTGGCCAGCGCCAACCCAGAGGCCCTTCCTTGAGCCAGACTCTCATGGCCTCTGCCACAGCCTGGGGTCTTTCTACAAATACCTGGCTCAGCTTGGGTGTTGAGTAACTTTCAGTTTCCAGTGCAGGCTTTCAGTTTATGTTTCATCTCCAGGTGGTCATTCATCCAGAGCTGCTTGGCTCCTGGGTCGTGAGTCAATGAAAAGAAATCAGGCTACGTTGTGGATTGTTGAGATGACCATGTTTCTGAACTCTGGAGCTGTGATATCCCGTTCTTTTATAATCATCTAGGTGAATGCATTTTCTCCAGAGGCTGCCTGGGCTGAGGATAGGTGCTTTCAGCATAATCCTCCTGTTGCCAACACCCAAATCTCAATCTTTGTCTTAGATTCTGGTTAGATTGCTCTCTTGTTGCTGGTTAATAGTATAGACTGTGCCATTTCAAACTAACACCCCACTGGTATTGCTTACTCTTTCCGGCTCCCCCTTCTGTCTTAGAGAAGAGTACAGATTTAAAGGAAGTGTAAATATCTGGAACATCAGCTGGTTAGCTTTCATGTCTCTCTGAAATGGGGCCAGTGTTCCAAGAAACTTTGACCAAAAAAAATAAAAAAAAAGGTGATAAAGTTTATTCAGCAATAGTTCTCCCATTTGATCAACATTTGGAACATTGCACGTAGACTGTCATGGCAGGGGGAATTTTTTTTTTTTTTTTTACTTGAAATATCCTCCCCCTGCATTTCCATGAAACTGAGTTATCCTCATTTTCCTAAATTCATTGACATTTATTGGCCACTACATATGCCATACATTGTGCTTAGCACTTCCAAAGATTATCTTCATTATTCTACAAAATAACCTTCAACTTAAATACTATTTTATTTTTTTTAAAGATTTATTTATTTGAGAGAGAGAGAGAGAGCATGAGCAGGGGAAGGAGCAGAGGGAGAGGGAGAGAGAGAATCTTAAGCAGACTCGCCACTGAGCATGGAGCCCGATGTGGGACTCCATCTCATGACCCTGAGATCATGACCGGAGCCCAAACCAAGAGTGGGATGCTTAACTGACTGAGCCACCCAGGCGCCCCTAAATACTATTTTAAACTTCATTTTATGGATGAAGAAACTGAGGCACAAATTTATCAGAGGCTGATAATTTGCCCAAGTCTCACACCTAAGAAGTGATAGGATCAGGAGGGGAACCTGGAGTCCAGGCTCTTAACCATCACAGAGTCCCGCTCTAGCCCACAAAAATCCCTCACCTGTAAAGCCTTTTCTTGCTCCCTGTTATACTCTGTGATCTCTTCTCAACTTACTTTGGCACTCAGGGATTCTCAATCTCTTTTGTGCTGTTGGCCCTTTTGGCAATGTAGAGAAACCTATGGGATTCTCCTCCAAATATGGTTTTGTTTTTGTTTTTTTTAGATTTATTTATTTTTTTGACAGAGAGAGATATAGCGAGAGCAGGAACACAAGCAGGGGGAGCGGGACAGGGAGAAGCAGGCTTCCCGCAGAGCAGGGAGCCCGATGTGGGACCCGATCCCAGGACCCTGGGATCATGACCTGAGCCGAAGGCAGACGCTTAACGACTGAGCCACCCAGGCGCCCCCAAATATGTTTTTAAGTGCATAAAATATAGTTATATTCAAAGAGCCCTTTTAGGGGTCTATAGACCCTAGATGAAGAATCCTCAGGAGGAGGCAGAGTCCCTGTGTCACTTACTAGCCACCTCCTGGGATCTTAACTGTAGTCAATAATTGGCAATTAGTTGTGTATTGTTTTATAGCTGTGATGTCCAATATGGTAGCCATAGGATACCTGTGGGCACCTTGGGCACAATAAAGGTGATAATTAGGTGACCTGGCTTTTGAGGAGGCAGAGTCCCTGTGTCACTTACTAGCCACGTCCTGGGGTCTTAACTGTAGTCAATAATTGGCAATTAGTTGTGTATTGTTTTATAGCTGCGTTGTCCAATATGGTAGCCATAGGCCACCTGTGGCTAGTCTAAATGGAAATGTACGGTGAATACACACTGGATTTCAAAGACTTAGTATGAAAAAAGAATGTAAATTGTTTCATTAATATTTTAAAATATAGATTACATTTTGAAAGGCAACCTTTTAGATATATTGGATTAAATGAAAGACATTATTAAAATATATTATTAAAATTAAGATCATTAATAAGTTATTAAAATTAAATTGCAAAGCTATTAGCTCTACACCAACACCTTCATATTTTAACAGATGAGAAAAACAGGACTCATGATGCTTATCACTTAGCCACACATTGGCAGGTCTGTTTGGCTCTTGAGCATATGTTCTTTCCAAGATATCATACTGCTTTTCTATCTTTTTATCTTGATATCTTACCATGTTGCCTTTGCGAGCCATAAATACTTAGAATATGTTTTGATGGGATGTGATGGTAATTGGCTTAATTCCAGTATAATCCCAGTAAGAGCTGGCTAGGTCTTCGCCTGGCATGACCTTTGCCTCACTTATTTAGAGTTTAAGTTTTATAGACAGAGAGGGAGAACGGCTCTTGCAGGGCAAAACCCCTGGTTTTTGCTGTCTGTGCGGTTCTCCTCAGGTGGTGGTTCCAATTTCAGCATCTAACTGGACCAGTAATCACACACAGGAGAGAAAAGTTTGGTTGCCTTTGCATTTTACAGGGAAGAAAGTGGAGTATGTAGGGAAGGGTATGATAGACAATAATGCTGGGCTGCTGAAATGGAAAATGAGAAAATGTATGTGAGGGACAGATGATCATTTTTCAATGAGCGCACATTGATTGATTGCCTAGTTGCACACCAGGGGGTGCTAGGAGCCGTGCGTGATGTCCAGAGGACGTCTGTGCCCCCTGAGGAATTTACATTAAAACTGGGGAAGGGCTTAGATATCCACATGGTTGGATAAATCACAGTTGAAGGCAGTGTATGAGGAGGACCGAGAGCCATGGAAAAGAAAGCAGGCCCGAGTATGCAGCCTTTAAGCGGGGGGTGCCCGAGATGGTTATGGAGGCTGGCCTTGCAGCGCGTGGGTATTTGGGTCTCTCTCTGTCAGGATAACCAATCATCTGATCCATTCCTTTAGCCCCAGACAGAAGCTCTGTATCTGAGAAAAGCTCAGGTGCTTGTTTGAAAGTCTCTATTGGTCTATGATGTATTTATTGATAGTTATACCCAGGTCTATGAATCCCTCTCCAAAACCCTTGGGGCCAGGCATTTTAGAAAGCAGTAATAGAGTGCATATTCTGCATATCACCTCCTGGGACTGGGGCAGCAATCACCGTAATTAAAAACATTAATATTTCCGCAGCAAAACACACTAAATGGGATAAATTAAAACCATAAGCAACTTTATATTCATGTAGATCAGCTTTAGTTGCCAAGTGAGGTCAGGTCAGGTTTTGCCACCAAATAAGTTATGAAAGACTTCTGGTTTTCAGAGCATGTGGTTAAGGATGTGGACCTATGGTAATAATAATAATAATGATAATGATAATAATAATAACATTAAATGGAGAACGTATGGAACAGCAATGATGTTTATTATCTTCCAGGCACTGTTCTAAGCACTTACCTGGGTTTACTCCCTTAACCCTTAAGACGATCCCTTGCAGATTATTGTTTCTGTCTTGAGAAAAAAATAAAAGGAAGTACAGAGAGTTAAGTAAGTTGTCAGGTTGCAACTGGTAAGGGTCAGAACAGGATGCAAACCTAGGCAGTCTGGTCCAGGGGCTGCATCTTAAACCACTGTGCTTTGTCTTTTGGAGCAGGGAACTGGAAGCAGGCATGTCTCCAAAGTTTACTCCTCTTAGGTTATTCACACTGACGACACTGTTTGAACGCTTCATGTGTATAACAGTGAGCAGTAGTGATGGATACCTGGAAAGTGGAATCTTCGTTTTCAGAGGGATCCAGAGTCAGGGACTGCCTGGTTATGGCTCCTCAGCAGGGCTGACACAAAAGCCCAGTCCCAGCTCACGTTACCTTGTTTATTTCTCCTAGATAAACGAGTCCTGAGAGTTGCCCTTGTCCTATCGCTGGGCAAGAATGGAGGCCCCCCTGGTGAGTCTGGATGAAGAGTTCGAGGACCTTCGGCCCTGCTGCTCAGAGGACCGGGAGGAGAAACCACAGTGTTTCTATGGCTCATCTCCCCACCATCTAGAGGACCCCTCCCTCTCTGAGCTGGAGAATTTTTCTTCCGAAATAATCAGCTTCAAGTCCATGGAGGACCTCGTGAACGAATTTGACGAGAAGCTCAATGTCTGCTTTCGGAACTACAACGCCAAGACGGAGACACTCGCTCCCGTGAAGAACCAGTTCCAGATCCAGGAGGAGGAGGAGACCCTGCAGGACGAGGAGTAAGAAGTCTTAATTGCCCTCTGTTGCTTCAGACGCGAGCCCCGTAGTCTGGGGCTCCTTGACATAGAACTGGTTTCTGTCCGTGGGCTCGTGGCATATCACTTAGACTTTTCTGTGGTGGGGCAGGGCCCCGGTAATTGCTGACATTATACTGTTGTGTCCCTGTACAGTGACCTGAAGAGCTTTCTTAAAATGGAAACCTTAACGGAATGAAAGATTTTTAGAAAATAGGTTTTCTTTTATACAAAATGGAATTTTAGGAGCATGATCCATTTTAGGGTCTGCTATCTTCAGTTTTCTTTTTTTTTTTCCTTTCCAAAGATTTATTTTGCACAAGCCTTCTATGGCTTTCTTTTTCCTCATTAAAGCACACATTTTACTTTGCTTGCATGTGGAGCTGTTTCCCTTATTATTTCTAGTAGCTTTAATTACATACATTAATTAGAATTCTTAACCCTTAGAAGGCTTGCTTTCTGGGGAAAACGAAGAAGTAAACAATGGTGAACTGTTTGTTATAACAGCATTCTTCAGACTGGCTAATTTAGGGATGCATTTAATAATTTCTAGAAGCACATGTTACGGGACTTTTTCCTTTGGTGCCCACTGTTCTTGGTCACACCGCTTCGAAGAATGAAGAGGTAGATGGGGCAGACTGGTGGGCAGCAAAGCAAGGTTTATTGAGTGATAGTACAAAGCTCCCGAAGAAGGAGGGGACCCGAGAGGGTTGCCCCTCCTTTTTTAAAGATTTTATTTATTTGAGAGAGGGAGCATGAGAGGGAGCACAAGCAGCGGGGAGGGGCAGAGGGAGAGGGAGAAGCAGATCCCCCGCTGAGCAGGGAGCCCGATGCAGGGCTCCATCCCAGGACCCCCGAAATCATGACCTGAGCCGAAGGCAGACGCTTAATCAACTGAGCCACCCAGGTACCCCTTCAGTTTTCTTTATATCAGTAGTAATCCACCCAGATACTAGAAATAAGGACCAGGAAAAAATTATTTAACTGTGACAGAGGAATCTGTCACTGGAACAATTTGCTTCAAGAAATAGCAGAATTATGAAAATCACCCGTTTACAAACCCTCCTCAGGACTGGAAAGTCGTCTACAAATGTTAAGATATGTCCAAACAAGAAAGCATACAAACTGAACTGAGAGCCCAGGGAATTACCTTGGGCACAATAAAGGTGATAATTAGGTGACCTGGCTTTTGAGGAGGCAGCGTCCCTGTGTCACTTACTAGCCACCTCCTGGGGTCTTAACTGTAGTCAAGAAAAGGGCTTTGAGAAAAGTGCCGTTTGAGGAATGACTAGAAAAACAAGAAGGGGTTAATTTGGTACATAAATTAAAGAAGGGTGTTTTGGGCACTTAATAAAAACAGGCCTGAATTCCCTATAGAGAGAAAATATGCATCAATTTTTTTTTAAGATTTTTAATTTATTTGACAGAGAGAGACACAGTGAGAGAGGGAACACAAGCAGGGGGAGTGGGAGAGGGAGAAGCAGGCTTCCCGCGGAGCAGGGAGCCCGATGCGGGGCTCGATGTGGGGCTCGATGCGGGGCTCGATGCGGGGCTCGATGCGGGGCTCAATCCCAGGACCCTGGGATCATGGCCTGAGCTGAAGGCAGATGCTTAACGGCTGAGCCACCCAGGCGCCCCTGCATCAGTCGTTCTTAAGGAATCACACAAGAAACGTCAAGTAGTTGTAATGCAACTTTGGAGCAATTGGGCTTTTGGTTTCTCTTTTTATGAACTTGAGCCGGGGGAGGGGGGAGTGTTGCCCATAAATAAGTGGGGTAAAAGGGCATGTCCAAGACAAGGGAGCCTGACCTGTGTGGGAGGTAGTTGCTGACTTGATGACCCTGTGAGTGTACCCGGGCTCTGTGTCTGTCTGTCTCATTCACTATTATATCCCCATGTCTAATATAGGGCTTGGTTGTGTTGTAAGTAATGCAGGAATATTTTTTGAATGAAATACTGAATGTCGAGTGAATTGGGTGAGCCATTATGGCTGGCTTTGTAGGTGAAGGTAATGCATTTCCAGATCCACACCATTTCCTTCTCTCCTTTTTAATTAATGTTGGCCTGAAGTCATGATCAGAGAGAACATTTTACTCTGGTGACCAGTACTGTAACTGTGAGCTCTGTGTTTTAATTCAATTTTAAGCTTGAAACTGATTCTTAAATTCTGAGCCTGTTATAATTTGTTCAACTCCTGTAAGTCTAAAAAGAATGACTCTGGGGCTTTATTATACAGAGTATTTTTTTCATTCCTGGTGCAATGAACTAGAAACACAAAGACTGTGAATTATAATTTTCATACTCTTGCTAACTCACTGTGTGACCTTGGGCTAGTCACTTAACTCTAGTCGACTGTGTGGGTCCGTATCTTAGAAACCTCCAGAGTTCAATCTTGATGAAGCGGGGCTAAGGACTTGGAAAGAACCTAGTTCCTTACCTCACCCAGGCTGTGCTCTGAAAATGACATTTTATTTATTTTTTTAAATATTATTCTTCTTTTGATTTTTTTTTTAAGATTTTATTTATTTGATAGAGAGAGACAGCAAGAGAGGGAACACAAGCAGGAGGAGTGGGAGAGGAAGAAGCAGGCTTCCTGCGGAGCTGGATCCCAGGGCCCTGGGATCATGACCTGAGCCGAAGGCAGACGCTTAACGACTGAGTCACCCAGGCGCCCCTGAAAATGACATTTTAAGATGCATCCCATTCCTTTTGCTTCCAACAAATCATTTCTTCCCTATCTAACCACCCTCCCCCACCCGCCCGCCGCCACCGCTCCCCACTGCCTCATTAAAGATGAAGGCCCAGTGAGCAGGTTCTTACTCTCTTCTAGCACATTAGCAGAGGCCACTCAATGTTAATTACCATCACATGGGGTTATTGGTCCACTCACCCTGATTTTTCTGACTTGCCTGCCTCATTGACTGCCTCAGCTAAAAGATCAAAGGTTGAATATTTCCTTAGAGATAAGGTACAGTTTGGGGATAGCATAGAGGGAGGAAGCCGGGAACAGAGAAATTAACACTGCGCTTTCTAGGCGGTCAATGTATCTAAACCTTTCCAACTTAAAATAAAAATCAGAGTTAAATTGCACATTTTGCCTATAGATACCTATCCAGACACTGTAAAATTATAACCTATAAAATTATGATGGAGTAAGGAAAAAGATAATTTAATATCTAATCTGGTTATGATTCTCCTGAGCATAGCTTGTGATAAACTTGCTTAGGTTTGATATTGGGATGGGTATTTCATCTACAAATGGACTGAAAGTGTTTTGGCTGGGTTAGAGCTAAATAATAGAAACATAAAACAAAAGCTGTGGGGGCACCTGGGTGGCTCAGTCGGTTAAGCGTCTGCCTTCGGCTCAGGTCATGATCCCGGGGTCCTGGGATCGAGCCCCGCATCGGGCTCCCTGCTCGGCAGGAAGCCTGCTTCTCCCTCTGCCTCTGTCATTCCCCTGCTTGTGTTCTCTCTTGCTCTCTCTCTCTCTCTGACAAATAAACAAAATCTTTTAAAAAAAACCAACAAACAACAAAAGCTGTGAAATTCTTAGTCAAACTGACCTCCTTAAAGATAGCACAAGTCATAAAGCGAGTGCAGTAATTCCCTTTAAAGTTTGGATTTCTTTCCTTCTCAGGTGGAACTATTTGGCCAATAGGGAATTGGCTGAGATGTCAACTCTGATTTGTCAGGGCGTGGAAGTTTTAGATACTACAAGAGAGTCAAATTTGAATAGCTATTTCCTGGTTGTAAGTTTAGAAACTTCCAGAATCTATTCTTTGCACATGTGTGATCATCCTTTCCTTTGTCATAAGAGATTGAATATGGAGGCCAGAGACCCTTCAGGGACCTCAGCCCACCGCCTGCCTCATTGGGGTTGTGATAGGCCCTGGATGCAGGGGGGCCAAACATGTGAGAACAATCACAGTTTCCTGTTCTTTAGATAGAATTATTGGGTTAAAGTTGTTAAAAATAAAGTCTACACGGGGTTGCGCCTGTCTGGCTCGGTCGGAAGAGCATGAAACTATTGATCTTGGGGTTGTGAGTTCTAGCCCCACGCTGGGTGTAGAGATGACTTAAATAAGTAAAAACTTAAAATCAAATAAAATCCACACGGTAAATAAATACCCCGTAGTCAGCCATACTTGAAGGTGAAGACAAGTAAATACCAAATACTCAGGATAGGGAAAGCCGATGGATAACTGATTTTTAAGAAAGTTATTTCTCTTCTCAGAGGTTGTTTCCCCAGAGGGCAGAGGTAGTATTGATTCCAGTTAAGTCCTTGAAAGAATCTAAAAAGTTGTTCAAAGCCATTATGTGCTAATAGTAGTTCCTAAGTCTTAACTGCGAAACAAGTATTAACAAACTCACGTGAACACACAGCCAAGTGTTGCTATCGGCTTGACTGGACACAAAACACTGGCTGAGGGCAGGAGCCAGCCTTGAGGGTATTAAGGAAAATGTTATCAAATTGGAATTCTAATAAGCGCTCTAGGCTAGCTCCCTGCCATATTGTCAAGAAAAGGTACAAAGAGGGGTGCGTGCGTGTGTGTATGTGTGTGTGTGTGTGTGTTGGGGGCTGGGCAGGACTCACGGAGCCTTGATGGCCATGTTGCCAGTAGACCCAGATCTTTGTATTCGGGTCCTGTCACAACCCATCCTGCTCAGTCCGTTTGCTCTGCCAGTGTCTGTTTCCGAATCCTCAGCCCTGTATGGTGAAAGAGAGTTTAGTCCGTTCCATAGGCACCTAACTAAGCCCAGGCCATAAACCACGCACACGAAGAGCCTTTTCTGTCATTACAGGGACTGAGAGAGCAAACTGAATCGTGCGTGCCATGGCAGCATAATGACAGGAATTGAGGCAACCTGTTTAATCTTGGCTCTTTGATAACAGATCTAGGAGGTAACATTCAGAGTCTCCCTTCCCCAAGATAAGAGTAAGTAGCGGGGTGCTTCTCAGGGAAGTAGAATTTCACGGTCCCCCTCAGGGTGCCTATAAAAGGGAGTGTATTCATTCCCAAGGCCCCTGCTGTGGGAGAACAGATAGCCTCTCTCGGGAAGAAAGCCCTTCCCATTCTCTTCCTCACAAAAGCTTTGTGTTTTTCCCTCCCACCACTGGCTCTTCGCTCCCGTGGCTGGCTGCCTGCCGTGAGTGTTCTGCCTTTGGCTTCCATTTAACCGTCGCTGGGGCAGGAGAGCTAGACCGGAAGCCCTCATGGCCCCCGCTGCCCCCACCATTCCTCCTTTTGTAGACCGATGAAAGCATCTTGTCCAAGGATAATGTAGTTAGAGATCTTTCACGCAGAGCCGGTTTCTGAACTGCTGTTCTAGCTTGTGATTGGGAACTTGGTATATTATTCTCATGCCCCTGCCAGTGCCCATCATAAAATTATAAAGAATCGGAATAGTTATGTGGTTAGGAATATAAGCTCTGTAGCCATATTGCCCAGTTTCAAATCCCACCTCTGCAATTACCTGCTGTGTGAACTTAGACAAGTTAACGGACTTCTCTGTTTCAGTTTTTTTCTCCTTAGGATCTGCCTTAGAGAGTTGTGAGGCATGAATGAATTGATCCACAGAAAGGTTTAGAAGAGTATCTGGCTTATAGTCAATGCCCATGAAGTGTTGGCTGCTAGTGTTGTTATTGTTACGTGGGCACTGAATGCGTGTGGGAGTGTGGGAAGGTATGCGAGCAATTACAGAGAGATAGAGTCACTCCATCTTCAAGGTTCTTTATGAACCTCAAAGGGGAAAGAGTACTTCAGAAAAGAAGAAGAAAATTCGGACAAAACAGGAAAGAATGAGGATGGTTTGAAATCCTGAGGAGACAAGTGTGTATGGAATCATCCCTAAAAATCTAGAATTAGAAGATGAAATCCAGAGCATGTCAGTGAAGGCTCACATGAGAAAAGTTGCCCCTCCCTACGTGACTTGACAGAGTCCCTACTTGTCATTTTAAGAATGCACACAGTTTCAAGGTCATTGGCAAGTGTGCAGTTCATTAAAGCTCCCAGCTTCTATCCAGCCTAGGAGAGGCACAAAAGGCTCCTGGCTATTTTGGGCTTTGCTGAATTTCATTTTCCCAGGCACTTGATGCAGGGACAAATCCGAAGGTCAATGCCCGCATGCTTGTTGTTGATTCTTGCAGCAGAGGATGTAACGCAGCGATGCAAGGAGGAGTGGTCCGCTGGCCTTCCCTGTGGGTGTGGTGCTTGGAGCTTTGTCTTGGAGACAGCAAATCATGTTTGCCTCTTGGCTTTAGAATGCTACTGAGACTTGGCGTTTAGCGTTAGGCTGGATTAATGAAGCTCTAATGGTGCCTGATGGAGATTGGATTATCACCCATGTTTAAGAAGCAGACTCTGAAATCCTGCTGAATGGATGTCTAATGAACACTTGATGAGTCCTCTCAAAGTGCTTTCTTGTAATTGTAGGAAAATAACGAATAAGCGGATCACCCAAGCACGGCTATGAAATTGTGTTTTCTTGAGTTCCTTCAATGTGCTTCATGACCAATTGTATACCTTGCGCAACTATGAAAAATCTCTTTGCTTCTATGCCCATAAATCATATATCATTCTGGATTTTATGTATGTTAAGAGCACTCCCCTGTCCAAATTTCAGGTGTCTGTGCTCTTGTCCATCCTGCACTTACCTTTTCAGCATCTTACCCTGGATTTTGTCATGTTTTGAATTTGATCCATATATATACGTAGTTGCTTATTTTTAAATGGCTATTTCTTTATATTAGTCAATCTAAATAAAGTTTACTTTCTTAGACCTTGTTTTCATAGGTATCGCTCATGTTTGACATACGTAGGCACCTGAGGGAGATTGCATAGAGCCCTCATTTATCATTAGGTAATATTAACTCAAGCGTCACTGGCTACCTTGGATGGCATTATTTTAGGAATTTGGTTTACTGATTTACATTAATCTCTCAGTGTTGACTCATTTGTTTATTTTCCTGTGTGTGAGAGTTTGTGACTTGAGGTAATTTCCCCTAACCCCCAAGAACTCTTTCTGAGATAAGTGAATTAAATGACCTGAATTGTAGAAAAGGGTTTCTTATAATGCACATATCGGAATTGTTAAAAGAAATGTAATAAAGGGAGCCCCATCTTCCCTCACTAAAAACCAACTGTTAGAGGGTATTTTTTTTTTTTTAAGATTTTATTTGTTTATCTGACAGAGAGAGAGAACAAGTAGGCAGAGAGACAGGGAGAAGCAGGCTCCCAGCTGAGCAGGGAGCCCGATGCGGGGCTCGATCCCAGGACCCCGGGATCATGACCTGAGCCGAAGGCAGCCGCTTAACCGGCTGAGCCACCCACGCGCCCCTGTTAGAGGGTATTGATTGATTCCTTTCATATATTTGCCTTAGAGTGTCCACGACGGAGACTTATATTGCTAGAGGGCGGCATTGTGCCGCCTGTGGGCTCAATAGAGCATTTTGGGTAATAAGTAAGCACAAATAGCATGGGCATTATCCTCTTAGCTACATTAGATGTCAAGGAGTTAATTCTTAACCATTTAGATTGCAGGCCTCTGAAATTGAAATGCATCTAAACTCTATGATGGCCCTGATCTTAATGAGATTCAGCCAGAAAATCTACCTTGATATCCACCTGCCTCTATCTATCTATCTATCTATCTATCTATCTATCTATCTATCTATCTATCATGATCTTCCTCCTTCTCTTTCAATCTTCTTTGCCCATAGGAAAGGAAAGGAAACATGGGTATTTTTTTTTTAAGATTTTATTTATTTATTTGACAGAGACAAAACGAGAGAAGGAACACAAGCAGGGGGAGTGGAAGAGGGAGAAGCAGGCTTCCCACTGAGCAGGGAGCCCAATGTGGGATTCTATCCCAGGACCCTGGGATCATGACCTGAAGCCAAAGGCAGACGCTTAATGACTAAGCCACCCAGGCGCCTCCAACATGGGCATTTCTTTCTTTTTTCTTTTCTTTTTTTTTTTTTTAAAGATTTTATTTATCTATTTGACACAGAGAGAGAGAGCACAAGCAGGGAAGCGGCAGGCAGAGAGAGAAGCAGACCCCCTGCTGAGCAGGGAGCCTGATGCGGGACTCGATCCCAGGAACCTGGGATCATGACCTGAGCCGAAGGCAGACGCTTAACCAACTAAACCACCCAGGCGCCTCCAACATGGGCATTTCTTAGGTTCATGACACATGAACTATTTGGTTGAGGGGCAGATTTATTTTCAGGGGCAATTTATTTTTTGCCAGAGGTGATTTGATTGTAGACTCTACCATTTATATCTCAATGGTGAGAAAGCCCTCTTCTCTTAAGCAAACACCTTTCATGCTGAAGCCCCTGGCCAGGGTCCATTCTCTTGGCTCTTTCTCTTCTGGTAGTGCCTCTAATTCCATTTCTAAGCTGCTTTGCTCTTGCATGCTGGAAGGCAGATGATCTCAGCCTGGCACACACAGAAGCCTCTCTCCTCCACTGGCCCAGCTCTTCCTTCCTCCAGGCGGGGCCAGGCCACAGATGTGTGCTAATAAGAGCTTCTCTTTGTTTACAGGGTTTGGGATGCTCTGACAGAGAATTACATCCCTTCACTCTCAGAAGACTGGAGGGACCCAAACATGGAGGCTCTGAATGGCAACAGCTCTGATATTGAGGTACCTCTCTGGGGCCCCTTACTTAATAAGGCTTGAGAAGATGTGGATTCCAGTTAGAAAATCATTCAGTAATTCAACAGTCTTCCCCATTAGGTAATGAAGCTCAGCAACAGCTCTAAAACATTGCTGGGAAGGCAGGAGTTGTGGAGGAGGTGAAGAATAAGATGAGGGGACATCCAGTGTATACGAGGTGATCCAAATGGCTATCTGTAAAAAGTGTAAATGCAAATTACTCTGTGGTTGATCTGTGTCCTGCAACGTGCAAAATAGGGTGGTCTGAAGTAAGAGAGTAGGAGAGTGACCATAACAGGCTTCTCTTGTGTTCAAATAATAATGATTTAAAAAAAAAAATCAAGTTTTTCTATCTAAAATGAACTGTTCAGTACCACCAAAAACAAGATGGCAAATACTGATAGATTTGTGTCAAGGTCAAAGCCTGGCAAATGACCAAAGCTGGGGCCTAGACATTAGTGAGGTGGCCACTCAGTGGAGAGTGGCCAATGAGACGGTTATAGACTCAACCAAGAAGACGTTTATGCAGCTGAACCTGAGTCACATTCTGTGCTTACTGATGCCAAAGAAGAAAGTAGCCTAAAGGCTTCTGAATAAAGAGAATACTTGTTTTGAGTTGATTTGCATGGGCTAAGGAGTGACCTTTCAGAAGATCCAAATCGCCCTTCCTAGCTGAATCTACGTATAGAAAAGTAAAATCATTTAATAGCTCTGTCCTTCCTAAAAGCCGATTTCTACCTTGCTTGGTTTTCTAGTTTCAGCTGTATAGGAAATTTGACAATTTCTTATCAGGAAGGGCTGTTACGCCCTGTGGGCTCAGCAAATGAGGGAAAGGGAGGTGGATCTCATCTTCCTAGGTCCTCCAGAATTGAGTCCAAGTAAAAGAGCAAGAGACACATTTCCCTTACTGGGCGATATTTCTGCAGATCATTGCCCCAAATAGCACAGCAAAGAGATCAGCAGTTGGCTGATTTGTTGAAAAGGTGGCTGTACATCCTTAACTCGTTTAATAATTAGCAATCCAAAATTCTCAAAACCTCAAGGTTTCACTGATGGGGTAGGTAAGGTGGCGACTTTGACACTAGGAGATTTGGGACAAGCCTACTCAGTGTGGATCCAGGAGGCTGTGTCCCAAGTCCTGTTTTGGCTCCCGACTGCTTGTTTTCTCTTGAGATGCTAATGTATATCCTTACCCCAGATGCGAAGGACAAGGAGGCAACCATGGAATAAATCTAATTACTGAAATAAAATCAGGTCCATCATGGTGCAAAAGGCAGATTTTGCTTTGTTATCTCTTTGGCCACCTTTCCAACTCATTTTGTAGATTAAGCCAAAGGGTGTATAAGATAGCCTGCCCTTCATAAGTCTCTAATTTATCCTCATTTGCAGATTTCCCTCAAGAGGTTTAATATTTCAGGGCAAATTGAATGACCCTGAGAAGGATGATCTTGAGTTCCACTCCTTGTGAAATTTCTTCCATCCAACCCATGGGAAAATGACAGGGTAGCAAAAGTGGATGGATTAAGGCTGTTTTGTTTCATCTCCTTTATTATCGGGATTCATTACAGTAGAAGCTCTTTTAACTGACCTCAGTTTAAATGATTTGCTAGATTAACCAGCGCTCTGTATTCCTGTAAGAGAGCGGCCAACCCAGTGCCCTTGACTTGCTGAATGCACACAGCTGGTAGGCTTCTTTGAGCAAGCCCTCATAGCTCTTCTTCTACTTAAGTGGTTCATCGCCAAGAATCTGTTGTGTTTGTTCCCAAACCTCTTTATGCTTGTCCTTGTGACTCTAAGAAATGTAATCAAACATTATAGAAGCTGTATGACAGCAAAGAGGGTCGTGTTTTGCTCTTTTAAATCAAAGTAACACATGTACATAGTCTTTTTCTTAAAAAATATTTTTTTTATTTATTTGAGATAGAGTGAGAGCGAGAGAGAACATGAACGTGGGCGGGGGGCTGGGAGGGGACGGGATAGAGGGAGAGGGAGATGCAGGCTCTCCACTGAGCAGGGAGCCCGATGCGGGGCTCAATCCCAGGACCCTGAGATCATGACCTGAGCTGAAGGCAGACGCTTAACCGACTGAACTACCCAGGCGCCCCACACATGTACCTAGTCTTAAAAGTCAAATAATACTTTAAAAATATTATAAGACCTAAAGCCTCCCCCCTTCCCCTGCCACCAGCAGCTCCTGAATTGTCTTTCCTTACTCCATAGAGGCAACCACTTTTATTTCTTTTGGCATATACCTCAAATTTTCTAAGTAACACATTTATATTGCTGTTCGCTTGATGATTCAAATCAACAGTTTGGGCTGTTATCTATTAACTTTATACTATAGAAGCTAAGATTTAACGTTTTCACACCACCTCAAATATTCACACTTAGCCTTCCCCCTTCTAATAGAGGGTTGTCACCAATTTATAGTGAAATCAATATTAAATATATAAACTATCATAGCTATGTAAATACTATTTCTTACTGAATCATATAGTGTTGTATAAGAATATTTCTTATCTTATACAACCTTTTGTTTAACTTGGAGTAAAGAATTACCTTGTTTTTTATTTGTTTAATTTTCTGTATACCTATCTATCAATAGTTCAACCCCAAACTCTGAGTGAAATTTAAATCTCACAATACGGTTAAAAAAACCCCAGACATTCAGGGGTGCCTGGGTGGCTTAGTTGGTTGGACGTCTGCCTTCAGCTCAGGTAGTGATCTCAGGGTCCTGGGATGGAGCCCTGCATCCGCATCAGGCTCCCTGCTCAGCGGGCAGTATGCTTCTCCCTCTGCGTCTGCCCCTCCCCCCACCTCCCTTGTGCTCTCTCTCTCTCTGTCAAATAAATAAATAAAATCTTAAAAAAAAAAATCAGACATTCTATCAATTCTTTTTTTTTTTTGTCTTGAAAACATCCAAATGAGTACCTCCATCTTTCTACTATAAACTAGTCTGGTTGTATTCTAGATCTAGTGCATGGCTATTGTTGTGGGACTTTCCTTCACTTTCATCCCTGGGGTTCTTCCTGCCTGACTGCTGTATTTTTTTATCTTTCTGGGTATATTCCCTTGTTTTGGTGGGAAAAAAAACTCACTATATTCTTGAGAAAGGGTATAGAGGAATATGTTTTTTAGACTATACTAGAATGTCTTTATTTTCCTGTCATATACTTGATTGAGAGTTTGATTTGATAATTATTTTAGATTGCAAATTTTTTTTTACCTGGAATTCTGAAGGCATTGTTCTCTTATCTTCCAGCTTTCCCTTGCTGTTGAGAAGCCCTCAAATCCATTCTGATTCTCCTTTTATATGTGACTCACTTTTGGTTCTTTCTGAAAGTGTTTAGGATCTTCTTTTTTCTTTCTCATTTGAAATTTTCCATTGATGTGCCTTATAGTGAGATTCCCCCCCCCTCCATTCATTCTGCATTATACTTCATGGGCCCTTTCAGCCTGGAAGCTCATGACTAAATTGTGGCATGTTTTCTTGTGCTATTTCTCTGAAGATGAATTATTTCTGTTTTCTGCCTCTATTGAGATGATTATGTATGGAGTTCTCTCCTTTATGATGTTAATGGGATAAATGACATGAATTGATTCTCAAATATTAAGTCAACCTTGCATTATTGAGATAAACCCAACTTGGTCGTGGTGTATTATTGTTTTCTTTTATTTCATTGTGTAGTTTTCTTTTTTTTCTCATGGCTTTACTGAAGGATAATTGGCATACAATAAATGGCACATTTTAAAGTTTTCAATTTGATAAGTTTTGACATATGTATACATCCGTGAAACTATCACCACAATCAAGATACCAAGCATATCCATTAACCGCTCCCTTTCACCCCCGAATCTCCAGGCAACTCATTTCTGTCACTATAGGTTAGTTTGCGTTTTCTAGAATTTTGTATAAATGGAATCATGCAGCAGGTACTCTTTTTTTTTTTGGTCTGGCTTTTAAAAATTCAGTATAATTATTTAGATATTCATCCATATTTTGCTTATATCAACAGTTCACTCCTTTTTATTGCTGAGGGGTGTTCCATTATAGAGATATACCATAATTGGCTTATTCATTCACCTGTTGATGAATATTTGGGTTGTTTGTGAATATTGTAAATAAAGCTATTATGGATATTCTTGCCTAAGTCTGTTTGTAGACCTATGTCTCCATTTCTCTTGGGTAAAAAAAACCTATGAGTGGAATGTTGGGGTCTTATGGTAAATGTATGACATTTTTAAGAATCTGCCAAACTGTTTTCCAATTTGAGAACTCCAGTTAGTCCACATCCTCACCAACACCTGTTTTGGACAGCCTTTAACATTTTAGACATTGGAGTAAGTATATAGAGTACCTTATTTTGGTTAAATTTGCACTTCCTTAGTAACATGATATTGAACATCTTTTCATGTGCTTAGTTATAATCTGTGTATCTTCTTCAGTGAATCCTTTGCCCACTGTGTATTCTTGTTAAGTTGCTATTGTTCCTTATATTAAAAGATAAAATAGGCATACTAAAATTTTAAGAGTTTATTTAAGTAAGATCAAATTGGACAGCCCCAAACCCAAAGTGCTTAGGAGTGCTCCACCAACGGGAACTAGAGGAACAACTTTTATATAGAAAAGGTGGAAGCAAAGGAAGAAAATTATTTGATTGGCTATAGCTTAAATAGTTGTATTATTTGGGAAAGCCTAGTTGGCTGTTTGTGAATGGTTGTTCTTTGATTTGAATTCTTACCCTTGAGGCATTAGAGGCTTAGGTTTTGGTTTGCTTGGTAGGCTATTAAGGCATTAAAATCACCTCAGTCTAATGGCTTCCTTGTTTAATTAACACATACATTCTAGGTATAGTCCTTTGTCTGATATATGTTTTTTTTTTTTTTAAAGATTTTATTTATTTATTTGACAGAGAGAGACACAGCAAGAGAGGGAACACAGCAGGGGGAGTGGGAGAGGGAGAAGCAGGCTTCCCGCGGAGCAGGGA